CTACAGATAGGAGACCCTTACAAGAAACAAGTTGTGAGGGGAAGTGACCCAAACAATGTATATACATGTCAGTTAATGTAGAAATGGTAAAATAGAAGAAAGAAGAAAAAAAAGAAACAAGTTGATAACCGCTTTTTCCACCTCTGAACACTCAGCTTTTATCCGTACTATCACTTCCTCTGCAGATTCAGATTCAGATTCTACCTGTTTCCATAATGGACATTTACTTATTTATTTATTGATAGGCAGGGTCTCACTTTGTAGCCCAGACTGGCCTCAGATCTCAGGCTTGTGATTCTCCTGCCTTAGCCTCCCTAGTGCTGGGATTACAGATGTGCACAGGACACCATGCTTTTAGACACTGTTGACAGTGTTACTATGTGAAATGGAAAATTTCCCTTAGAATGAGCTCTCTCTATGAATATGAGCTGAAGAAAATATAATTTATTGAGGCTAAAGCTTGCAGAAGACTTCAGAATCCAAAATACATCGAAAAGTATTTGTTTTTAAGGCTTTCTGTTGCCGTAAGGTCAAGTGGGCTTTTTGGTAGTGATGAGTCACTACCTTAGTTACAGCAGTTAGAAAGTTACTGAGGCATGCTGAAACTTCCATTTTCTTTTCTTTCTTTCTTTCTTTATTTTATTATTCATATGTGCATACAAAGCTTGGGTAATTTCTCCACCCTGCCCACACCCCCTCCCTTACCACCCACTCTGCCCATTCCCTCTCCCCCCACCCCATCAATACCTGGCAGAAACTATTTTGCCCTTATTTCTAATTTTGTTGAGAGAGAGTATAAGCAATAATAGGAAGGAACAAGGTTTTTGCTGGTTGAGATAAGGATAGCTATACAGGGAGTTGACTCACATTATTTCCTGTGCGTGTTGTTACCTTCTAGGTTAATTCTTTTGATCTAACCTTTTCTCTAGTTCCTGGTCCCCTTTCCTATTGGCCTCAGTTGCTTTTAAGGTATCTGCTTTAGTTTCTCTGCGTTAAGGGCAACAAATGCTAGCTAATTTTTTAGGTGTCTTACCTATCCTCACCCCTCCTTGTGTGCTCTCGCTTTTATCATGTGCTCAAAGTCCAATCCCTTGTTGTGTTTGCCCTTGATCTAATGTCCATATGAGGGAGAACATACGATTTTTGGTCTTTTGGGCCAGGCTAACCTCATCAGAATGATGTTCTCCAATTCCATCCATTTACCAGCGAATGATAACATTTCGTTCTTCTTCATGGCTGCATAAAATTCCATTGTGTATAGATACCACATTTTCTTAATCCATTCGTCAGTGGTGGGGCATCTTGGCTGTTTCCATAACTTGGCTATTGTGAATAGTGCCGCAATAAACATGGTGTGCAGGTGCCTGGAGTAACTGTGTCACAGTCTTTTGGGTATATCCCAAGAGTGGTATTGCTGGATCAAATGGTAGATCAATGTTTAGCTTTTTAAATTTTTTTCCAGAGTGGTTGTACTAGTTACATTCCACCAACAGTGTAAGAGGGTTCCTTTTTCCCCGCATCCTCGCCAACACCTGTTGTTGGTGGTGTTGCTGATGATGGCTATTCTAACAGGGGTGAGGTGGAATTTAGTGTGGTTTTAATTTGCATTTCCTTTATTGCTAGAGATGGTGAGCATTTTTTCATGTGTTTTTGGCCATTTGAATTTCTTCTTTTGAGAAAGTTCTGTTTAGTTCACTTGCCCATTTCTTTATTGGTTCATTAGTTTTGGGAGAATTTAGTTTTTTAAGTTCCCTATATATTCTGGTTATCAGTCCTTTGTCTGATGTATAGTTGGCAAATATTTTCTCCCACTCTGTGGGTGTTCTCTTCACTTTAGAGACCATTTCTTTTGATGAACAGAAGCTTTTTAGCTTTATGAGGTCCCATTTATCTCTGCTATCTCTTAGTTGCTGTGCTGCTGGGGTTTCATTGAGAAAGTTCTTACCTATACCTACTAACTCCAGAGTATTTCCTACTCTTTCCTGTATCAACTTTAGAGTTTGTGGTCTGATATTAAGATCCTTGATCCATTTGAGTTAATTTTGGTATAGGGTGATATACATGGATCTAGTTTCAGTTTTTTGCAGACTGCTAACCAGTTTTCCCAGCAGTTTTTGTTGAAGAGGCTGCTATTTCTCCATCGTATATTTTTAGCTTTTGTCAAAGAAAGTTGGTTATAGTTGTGTGGCTTCATATCTGGTCCTCTATTTGTTCCACTGGTCTTCATGTCTGTTTTGTGCCAGTACCATGCTGTTTTTATTGTTATTGCTTTGTAATATAGTTTGAAGTCAGGTATTGTGATACCTCCAGCATTGTTCTTTGACTGAGTATTGCTTGGCTATTCTGGCCTCTTGTGTTTCCATATAAATTTAACGTAGATTTTTCATCTCTTTAATGAATGTCATTGGAATTTTGATGGGAATTGCATTAAACATGTAGATTACTTTGGGAGTATAGACATTTTTACTATGTTGATTCTACCAATCCATGAGCATGGGAGATCTCTCCACTTTCTATAGTCTTCCTCAATCTCTTTCTTCAGAAGTTTATAGTTTTCCTTGTAGAGGTCTTCACATCTTTGTTAGGTTTACACCTAGGTATTTGATTTTTTTGAGGCTATTGTAAATGGAATTGTTTTATATTCTTTTTCAGTTTGTTCATTATTAGTGTATAGAAATGCTAATGATTTTTCTATGTTGATTTTATATCCTGCTACCTTGCTATAGCTATTGATGATGTCTAGGAAGCTTCTGAGTAGAGTTTTTTGGGTCTTTAAAGGTATAGGATCATGTCGTCTGCAAATAGGGATATTTTGACAGTTTCTTTACCTATTTGTATTCCTTTTATTCCTTCTTCTTGCCTAATTGCTCTGGCTAGGAATTCCAGTACTATGTTGAATAGGAGTGGAGATAGTGGGCATCCTTGTCTAGTTCCTGATTTTAGAGGGAATGGTTTCAGTTTTTCTCCATTAAGTATAATGCTGGCTGTAGTTTGTCATATATAGCTTTTATAATGTTGAGGTACTTTCCTTCTATTCCTAGTTTTCTTAGAGCTTTTATCAATGAAATGGTGTTGGATCTTATCAAAGGCTTTTCTGCATCATTGAGATGATCAAGTGGTTTTTGTCTTTGCTTCTGTTTAATGGCACTGGTGACTGGGTGGCAGCCGCAAGGAGCACTTCCTGGTTTCCTCCTGTTAATGTGAAGTGGAGATGCTATGTGCAGGCTTGGAGGTGTGGAGGAGTCCGAAGTTTTGCCTCTTCTTCGGTGGTTTTGCCTGTAAGGTGTATCTCCGTATCTCTCAAGATTTTCTTTAGGAGGCATGCTTTCTGCTTCCTCCCCTATCCGCCATCTTAGAATCCTTCCCATTTTTCTTTGATGTTGCAATAATAATTTCTAAATTTACCTTGCCACATTTGGAGAATGTTAAAATTGACAAACACACAAGACAGTTTTAGTGCAAAATGACGCCTAACCGTGTGGGCCTGACTAGATGTTAGCCCAGTTCAGAACATGCTGTAATGCACAAAACTTCATCATAGGTTACAGTTTTCAGGTCCATTCCTTTGGCCATATTACTTACAACCGAACACTGTAAAGATTAATGTTCATAAATGCATTCTTCACATCATTGCCAGGGGATGTTTTTTAAAAATATAGGCACAGCCTACAAAAAGGCCTGCTGTTTAGTAGAAGAGAGAAGAAATGGAGAAAGTGTAAAGATATTATGTTGAGTTACCTAATTCAGAAGTGAGATAGTGTCAGATCTGGTGTTAACCTGCTTGGACC